GGTGTGGTACTATGAAACTAGAATGCCATGGATAGAGTATGTGAGCGATTATGAAGTTTTAAGAAAAATAGAAACAAAATGGACACACGTTTAGAATTAGAAAGAGGCTGTTACAGTTACTAGGAAACATAAATAGGGAAAGTGGGCTTCCAGAATTTGACACTTATAAGACATACTGAAGACAGCGGGTGCGGAAAGAAACATCAAGTAATCTATCTAACGAGCTGAACAATGGTTGAGGGATTTTTTTAATCGGTATCACGCTAAGCGAGGCAGTGCAGCCACTAGCACGCAAAGGGCTAAAGGGTGTGCAGGAATTAGGAATAGAAACATTAGGAAATGAGTAGAAAGAGGAAAGAGCAATCAGGAGGACATTAGATAGCAATTGACATTGCATTTAAATTTTTGCAGATTAAAGTTGGCTGGAAAACATTGAGCCGGAAGGGGGTTCCACAGACGAGAGGTGCGAGTAAAAAAAAACAAAAAAACTGTCGGTATAGATATTACGGTTACATCTAGCTAGCTCAAAAGTAAATTGATGAGATCTGGCCGTCAGTCTAGTATTGTGCTTAAATTCATGCAGTCTAGGTAGCATAGCGAAGAGCTCATACGAAAAATTATCATAAAAATATTTATAAAAAAAGGCACAGAAAGGCAACCTTACGGCGGTGGGCAAGTGACTGAAGCCGAGAGTTAAAAGACAAACATTGCAACGGATAAGAAGTTGTGAAGAGCTATGATCGTACATCTTCAGAAGGATAACGGTATATAAAAGATGAAGGATGTTTTCAGTTGTGTGTTGTGATAATGTTTAGTAATGTAACGATTGCTTACTTTGAACAACACATATTTTAATACAATAAAAATCCTTGTCTTGAATATGATCTGCTGTAACGAGGTGGGCGTCTAATATACACGTATTTCTTTTATATCATCAAATACGGTAATTGAATAAGAGTAAATGATCCATTGTACACGTCAATATGTGCAACAAATATCAAAATAAGAATCGTGTCCCTGCAGGATATTGGCAATCATGGCTCTCCACAAAATCCTGTCCTTTGTCGCTCTCAGTATAATTTGTCTTATACTGTAACTACTGGGCTGATGCTGCTTAGTCCATATTTTTCAGTTTTTATAGAGTCCAATAGCGTCGACGCGGCTTTGTGCGTGATCTTGTCCCACCTTCCAAATCCTTTCCTACAGCCGGAACGTTTTGCAAGCTTCTCGCTTTTCTACCGGAAAATGTTAAAACGAGCTACATTCCTGAGAGAGAGAGAAAGAGAGAGAGAGAGAGAGAGAGAGAGAGAGAGAGAGAGAGAGTAGGATACAGAAGGAGGGAGGGTGATGAGGAGAAGGAGGAAAGAGGGAAAGAGGGAGAGAGGGAAAGAATCGGAGGAAGAGGGTCAGGATGTCAATCACGGTAACCATAAAGGTATGCTGAACTGAATCTTTTATTTATAATTCAATCAGAAATAATCATTGGGTAGAAAGATTTAATTGTGAAGACAGACCGTTCAATCGTGTGAAGCGATTTTGTTCCTCACTAGGCGCACTCGCTATCATTTCTATGAATATCCCTTCCTGTAGTTTTATGGGAGAGTCAAACAGGCATAATGGTTAGCTACAGAGAGAGAGAGAGAGAGAGAGAGAGAGAGAGAGAGAGAGGGAGAGAGGGAGCGGGGGGTGTCGGGTGACAGAAAGAAAGAAAAGAGAGAGAGAGAGAGAGAGAGGGAGATAGAGAGAGAGAGAGAGGGGGGGAAGATATAACCTCGGCTAAAATAGTTTATTTTCGCTTCTCACTCATGAGCACGAGAAAGGCATTCGTCAAATTCCACCTGAACCCAGATAGATTGAAAGACATATGGCTACTGACATAGTACAAAAAACAGGTTATCTCCTCGGAAAATGGAATCAATCGAAACGTGGAGAAGGTAATTGAAACCACATTTTGGGTCAAGTCACTGGATCCAACCAACGCCTTTATCTTCTGGGCCATGTGTCCTTGATAACAATCTACCCCGGCGAATGAAATAAAGGGTTCAGTTCGAAATTCCAATCAGCTGAAGAAGGCCGGAACGTATAACGACCGAAAGGTCGTGAATATGACAACTGTGTAAATAGTGTAAATAGTTACAAGACCTCATCTCAGAAATATAGACAAATGTTAAAGAAGTTGTGTAGATGATCGTCTACCTTCTGAAAATGTATAGCATAAAAAAAAAAAAACACCTCACCGACATCTGCGACGAGGCCATTCAGAAGTTTTACAGTAGTAGCCTAACATCGAAGTGGTCAAGTGTTAAATTCACCCGTTGGGAAATTATAGAATTTTTTATAAAGTATTTCTTTTCAAAGCGAATCGTTATCATGAATATTCAGAACATTTTATGGGCATCTGACAAAGAAAAAATATTCTCTGGCAGGTTTTAACACGAAAAATCCTCTAAGAAGACAACAGATGTCATAAATGTATGAATAGATATTTTTCATCCAACATAAGTATAAAGAGCTCAATGCTTTTCATATATATATATATATATATATATATATATATATATATATATATATATATATATATATATATATATATGACGATTGTTACTTCTTTGCAGAAGAAAACCATCTCTTCACTTGGTAATTTTTTTTGAGTTTTTAATTCAGAATTTCCATCAATTAACTGATTAAGAATCAGACCAGCTTCACTTTTACAACCTCTCTTAAACACGTGGCAAACAAAGTTTGTCGGTGTTACCTATATTGGAAAGATTCAGCTTTGAACTGTTGTATCTTAGAAATGATTAAAGATATCTTACTGGAATTCTCCGAGGCTTATATAACACTATTGAACTCTGAGTAATAAAAGTGTATAATTACTCCCCAAGCTTAACAGAAGAGTCGTCATAAAGTCATTCATAAACGAAAATGACATGTTCATCATTAATTAATCTCAGCTAAGTATCAGAAGCCCATGAAGGATTGAAATTAAGTTCATATATATATATATATATATATATATATATATATATATATATATATATATAATTCTAGGATCATTTTTCAACTTATTTAAGATGAACTTCGCCCTTTCTAAATTTCTAACTTTTTATCCTGGATTAACAAGGTGCCTCAAATTTCATGTACGGTTTCATTTTCAACTCTTTTTTTCACTGGTGTTTGAACTGTCATAACTGAAACTTCTCTCTCATGTGCCAAACGTCTTATGGATTAAGTTGGAGCTTTTCTAATTGATCTCCTTAGCTCTAAGTTGAAATGATGATCCCTCTTCCTGTTGTAATCTTCTGATCTAGTTTTCCTCTTTACTTTTACCGCCTTTTAAAATTTATTCACTGTTCTCTTGATGGTTGTTGAGGGAAGCCAGCTTATGAAAGTTGGTACTATTACTGAAGTTTTGAGTGTTTTTTTTTTCCTTTCACCATTGCTCAGTTGCGAATCCGTTGTGGGGGTTGACACAAAACGATTTTAACCTGTTCTATTTCTAGCTGAATAACTCAAAGTGTAATTCATTGAGTCTTACGGTGTCAAGAGGGTTAAACGCCTTATCTGAAAACCTAGAAGAAAGTAACTCAATTAATTTAGTGTTTTTTTTTTTTTTTTTTTTAGATATTAAGCATTTTGTGAGATGGACAAACTGTTACACGATTTGGACAATTATGCTGTTATATATATATATATATATATATATATATATATATATATATATATATATATATATAATTTAAATAAAAACAGACCACTTTAAGGTTCCATGTAATTATTTCACCACAGCCCTTTTAAAAGGACTGTAGATCATCAGACTTTACTTCCAAACAAAAAATGAAAACGGAGTTTTCTTACACTGAACTTTAAAGTGGCCTGTTTTTATTCAAATTATTTGCTCTGGATTTACATTGAGCTCTCTGGATTTTATCCTCCTTAGGTTTACTCATACGAATTACCTAATTTTTTCAAAAATATATATATATATATATATATATATATATATATATATATATATATATATATATATATGTGTGTGTGTCTCTGTGTGTCTCTGTGTGTACTACTTAAAGATCTATGATAAATTGGAACAAGTCATCGTGTAACGCGTTTCGACATTTAGGACTTCAACAGACTAATCTTTACGATGACACGAAGGAGAAGGGACGCTGAGAATTTTACATTTAAATTTATTTCTTTTTTAAATATATGTTTTGTGTATAGGGGTTAGCCAATTAACCCATAGATGGAGGGAGAAGAGGTGGATTCATATACTTCCCAATGGTACTTTCGCGTAAGTGAATATAGCTAACCCGAAAGGAATTGGAAGTTGACTTTCCGATTTCCAATTCGGAGCCGTTATCCATTACACCACCCGCGCACCCAAGCGTACTGCACCTGATATTCCTAAGCGGCCACCCATCTATGTAATGATTAATTGCTTAATTGTGGTAATCATACGAGAACCGGTTTTTCCATGTGATATGGCCGTACGCCAGAGAGAGAGAGAGAGAGAGAGAGAGAGAGAGAGAGAGATTCGATTCCTGATTCCAGTGTAGATCTGACCGCCTTGAAGGCATCCGTATCCGTAAAACTTATTACGTGTCAACGATTTCCAAAACGATTGTCAAATTTGCTCTGATTTGTGCCTTGGACGCCGAGTGATACGGTATTGCTGTTCTTACAATGCGTCGATAGTGGAAAGCGCCTGTATTGTGTTGGAAGTGATACATGAATATTGGCAGTGGTGTTCGAATGAACATGCCTACAACCGTAGATCAGGTTCTGGACGGATGCGTTAGCCACGATAACTGGCTTGATACATTTTGGACAGTTCTCGTTTGACAATAGCTTATCTTTCAAGTTTTATTTTGGTAATTCATACTTTCAAACAGTAGTAAGAACTATGATTGCGTCGGTCAAAGTCAGAGAAAATATCATTATTTCCCAGCTACGATTAGACAGTGTATTTTTTCTCCTTTTAATATTTCTATAAAGGAATGGCGACAGAGAATTTTATGCCCCGAGTCGGCCGCGTAAACAAGCGAACAGTCTCATTTGTCAATATGTCATGGATTTATTTGATGCGCCTTAATCCGAGAGCCTGTATCGAGAGTCATCGGAGGTTAATCTATAAGGCGGGCAGCGGCGACATCAAATTCGACCAGCGAATGGATAGAGGTTATTCCTATGTGGCTAATCAGTCGTTCGCTATTTTCGCGGACATCGTGGATCAACTGACGCCGTAGCATGTCAACTCTGACATATTGGCAGTCGAAACACTAACTCTGCTATATATCTCAGTGTATTTCTTTCTTTCTTTCTTTCTTTCTTTCTTTCTTTCTTTCTTTCTTTCTATGTCTTTTTACTATCTGTCTATGTCTTTTTACTATCTATCTATCTATCTATCTATCTATCTATCTATCTATCTATCTATCTATGTCCGTATATTCAATTATACCGAATTCAGCCTGTCGAGCAAATAATTCACAGGACTCTGCCCAAAGTGCTTTGCATTCCTATCAATTAAAATATTCTTGGATGCTTCAGATACTTGCGTAGTGTTCAAACGTAGATTAAAATACTGATACTGAATGCTCAAGTTTGGCCTTGTACTAAAACTAAGCTACGATTAATAAATAAGAATCTTGCCCGGTAAGTTCGCCGCCATTAATTCACCGCCATCAAATCACCGCGAGGAAAGTTCAACTCTGAGAAAGTTCACCGCGAGGAAATTTCACCCCGAGGCAAGTTTACCCCGGGGAAAGTTCAGCGTAAAAGGATAAAAATCAAACAATTTTTTATGGCTTCTAAATTGATTGATCAACTAATCTAAAACATTTCTAAAATAGGGTAAAACTGAGATTATCCACCTTAATTTCATTCATTTCATAAGTAAAACTTCAAATAAAACTCAAATAATTACGCTACCACTTTCAAGAAGTTGGGAATATAATTATCTTCATGGAAATTTATAATATACTTAAAAGAAGTTTTTGTTTTGATTTGGTTTTGTTTTTTATTCGTTCCGTTATGCCCTTTTCAACCCATTCAGCTATTAATGAAATTTCTAGATTCAGATTATATATATATATATATATATATATATATATATATATATATATATATATATATATATATATAACAGCCCTTCAAGAAGCAATACCCCGCCCCAAGAAGTTATCACAAAACTCATTGAGCATATTATTACATTGAATACTTTCAACTTCAATAGAGCACACTACCTTCAATTCCAGTAAGATATCTTTAATCATTTCTAAGCTACAACGGTTCAGCGCTTAATGTAACAATTAGACAATTTTGTTGTTACATGATTTGAACAATTTTGCTATTGTTTCCGTTATACATACACATACTAGTTCTAAAATTATTAATTATAAAACCTAAGGAATTGATACGGTAAACTTGATGGCGGTGAACTTTCCCGCAGTGAATTGATGGCGGAAAACTTTCCCGCGGTGAATTGATGGCGGAAAACTTTTCCGCGGTGAAGTTATGGCGGTTAACTTTCCCGCGGTGAATTGATGGCGGTAAACTTATCAGTAAACGTAACAATATCCGTAATGTATAAATTTACGGAAACCTATGGAACCGAGTCTTCGACTTATTCATCCATATAATAAAACCAACCTGTTTTTCTTTGCCTTAGCCATTATTATAGTAGAGAACCCTTTTTTGACTACACGGTTCACGCTTGTAGTTTTGTGACTTTCCAACGAGCAACTCTAGATATTGTGGTTCGACGCAGAAGTGCCGATTCATACGTCAATTTTGACGGGTAATATAATGGTTCTTTAAATATTTTTAGTTATAAAGAATGGCACACACCTCTCAAGTGTCCACATGCCCGGCTGTGGAGGAATAATTCCCGATGAAGTGTGAAAGAAGCGCTCAAAATTAGACTTGAGGTTAAAATATAGTTTAGTAAATTTTGCGATGTCAACGAATACTCGTTGTCGCTTTCGTAATGCTCGTTGTAGTAGAGACTTTGGAATCGCAGATACAACTATAGTAACGCCGTTGAACAATGCTGGTGTCAGACGTCTTCGAATAGCACTCGTACTAATAGTACTTGCTCAATAATACTCACTCTGAAAGTAACCACCGTATAGTAATCCGTGTAATACTATAGAAATATTATAGTGAATAGTATAGAGATAGAGGATATCCCAGAACACACACCAAAATGTTTCAAGTGTATAGATTTAAAATGATATAAAACCATAGATGTTTTTTGTGATGACAACGAATAATCGTTGTCACTTTCGTAATGTTCGTTGTAGTAGAGACTTTGTAATCGCAGATACAACTATAGTAACGCCGTTGAACAATAATGGTGTCAGAGGCCTTCGAATAACACTAGCACTAGTAGTACTTGCTCGATAATACTAGCTTGAATAGTAAGCACCGAATAGTGATCCGAATAGTGAAATAGTATAGGGAATAGAGTAGAGAATAGCGATCCGTATAGTAACAGAGGATAGAATAGAAATGATGATCCGAATAATAATAGAGTATACGCCAGAACGACGATCATTTAGACGTCACGCGACTTCCTACTTATACGTTTCCTCTATGGTCACGTGGTCTACTTAATTCAACAATGGGACCACCTGTTTTTGCTCACTGGCGTTCTATGTTCAAACTCAAGTGTCGGCAGCGACACTTTATTTCTATAACAGTAAAAATTATTATCAGAAATTTTGCCCAGGGCCTTCGAGACGAAACCAATAGAATTTTTGTGTTCAATTTCTTAAGATTTTCAGTTTGAATTTAACAAACATAACTAAAAGGAAATATCGATAATTGTAAAAACACTAACATGAGAAACACAATATTAAAGCCGCAGGAAAAAATGTCTGTCATCCGAAACGGCTAGAGAAGAATGCAGGATTTTTTTAGTCACGTGATTTCCTGCATTGTTTTTTTATTGTTGTTTCCAGCTTTCTTAGAAACTAAACACTGCGCGAAGTGTTTCAACCGACAACGGAAAATGTGACATAGAAATGCAAAGGCGAATTTGAATAGCGAAATATAAGCTAAACAAAACATTAGGTTGTTCGGTTTTGTTTGATTTCGTTTGTTTTGTTTTACGGCATATCAACCTCAGTGGGTTGTTTAATGCAGACAAGATTTTATTAGTGGTAATATTTATTTTTTTTCATAAATGTATAGATGGCAATATTTTTTTGAATGTAATTCTGCTAATAATTTTTCTTCAAAATATCTATTGCTGGTAATAATTTTCACAAAGTATTTCTAGTATTAAAACCTATTTTTACACTTTCATAGGGTTTTAACCTATTTGGGAGTTAACTATTTACCCATAGCTGGGACCCTAACAGGTGCTACCACTCCGAATCTGTGTGGACCTGGGAACACCAGCAATTAAGAGGTGATTCCACGTTCCTCAAAACCTCCTGAACAGAGGCCTTGCTGTTGGACGTAGTTTATCGCCTTACCCAGGACACGGATATAGTTTATCTCCATATCCAAGACGGGAGGTTGTTCGGAAAATAATGTCCGATTTTAGAATCAACTTTTATTTCTGAATTAATGAGTTTAAACTGTGTTTAAATAGGAAACCTGGACATCTGTACATTTCTCCTATCGAGTTACAGATTATTTATGCCTTTACGATAAAACACTAGAAGTATGGACGCTAAGAAACCTATGATTGCAGTTTCTGCCGCTTCTCCTGTAACGGGATGTCTTTTGGCTTAAGAATTGCCAAGATGCTTGAAAATGTCGCCGTCTGTGGACGAGAGATCAGCGGAAGATGGCGGATATGGTAAAATCTCGTATCCCAAGTCGTTGAGCATCTGCATTGTCATCCTGGCAACATGTGGTCGGACATTTTTATTCCGTGCCATTATCCATTACACCACCCGTACACCCGAGCTTACAGCATCTGGTATTCGCTGGTGTACTGACCAGGTTCAAAGTTACTTAACTTCGGTGATCGGACGAGAACCGGTGTTTCCCGATATGGCAGTAAGACCTTGATGTGGTTAAGATTGCAGTCATCGGGAAAGCATCCTCTTGGGAGTCTGTTCCACAAAGGAGCAGTTCCAGGGAAGAAAAATATGTCCAAATGGGACTTTCTTTTTACCAATGGAATACAAAGTAATAGGGATTATACGATCCTGGGTACGAGACATGGTGGGTCCTAGCTGTCAGTCAGTTATGTGCCATGCGCGATATACGCTTAGGCGATCATGTATCTTTCGATACGGGACTGATAAGGCAGATTTTTCCCGCAATAGGTTGTCATTTCTTTTTGCGATAGACCAGTTGCCGGTCTGTCCTGCTACTTACTCATAGCTGGAAGGAGAAGAGGAAGACTCATATCTTTCCCAAGGGTATTAGCACTGGAATTCGAACTCAGCTCTCCGATTCCTCAATCCGAGCCGCTATCCATTATGCCACCGTGCTGTAAGGTCTTAACTGGTTGATCTAAGGAATGTAGCCCGTTTGAATATTTCAAGTTTAAGAGCAGTCTTATACCAGTCGAATCCATTAGATTCACTTACGTTCTAATACACTTGGGAAAGGTATGAATCCTCTTCTTCTACCCCAGCTATGGGTAAATAGCAGGACAGACCAGGTTCTATAGTCATGGATGGCAACTGGCCTGCCGCAGAAAGAAATGGCAACCTACTGCGGGAAAAATCTGCCTCGTCAGTCATGTATCGAAAGATAAATGATCACCTAAGCGTATATCACGCATGGCACATAACTGACTGAATGCACATAAACTAGTTACATGGCTTAAGTACGTGTCATCATTATGCGGTTTTGACAATGAAATACACATAAAGTCAATAGTAAGCCACAATAACAAGTTAACATTCAACATCCACTTTTGCATGGCATTCATTTGTCCTATCTTTTGAGATCTGGCACATCGGGTAGAGAAACTAATTACAAGCATATTGCTGTAAGTGGTCAGTTAATTTTAAATAAAGAATGCTAGTCTCTTATTTGATCTAAATTACTTGAAATAATGAAATCTTATCCTTTGATTATTTTCTCTTCTCATTCTATGTCTAAATAAATGTGAGTGTTATCAACAACAAAAAGTATTTTCTATTAAGCATATAACCACCAAATTCTGGCTATCCAAAAATATTGCATATTACATTATCTTTCAATAGAAATATATTACTAGTTTTATAACCATAAAAAATGACATTATTTATGTATGGATTGGCACTTCTTCCTAGCTTCGTTCAGTATATCTGTGGGCTCTATCTAGGATCAAAGATTTTCCATCCTAGTCTGCTGGCCAAAGTTCAGTATTGAGCCGAGCTTGAATTCCAGTCGAATCCATTACATTCACTTACGTGCTAATACCCTTGGGAAAGGTATGAATCCTGTTCTTCTCCCCCCTCCCCCAGCTATGGGTAAGTAGCAGGATAGACTGCATTCTATAGCCTTGGATGGCAACTGGTCTACCGCAGAAATAAAAATCGGGAAAAAATCTGCCTCGTCAATCATGTATCGAAAGATACATGATCACATAAGCGTATATCAAGCATGGCACATAACTGATTGAAGAATCGGAGAGCCGAGTTCGAATTCTAGTCGAATCTATTACATTCAATTTCCTGCGTGAAAGGTATGAATCCTGCTCTTCCCCTCCCAGCTATGGGTAAGTAGCAGGACAGACCGGGCTCTATAGCCTTGGATGGCAACTGGTCTACCGCAGAAATAAATGCCGGGAAAAAATCTGCCTCGTCAGTCATGTATATCACGTATGGCGCATGACTGACTGACTGACTTATGCTTGGTTTTAGATATAAACATTCCAAACCTACTTGATCGTTGAGGTAGTTGGGTTTATAATATCGTCATTTGTCATAGGTGTTTGAGGCCAAGTCTTTCTCACATTGAGGATTGGCCTACTGGACCCCTCATCAACCTCATTTGACGCCCCCTACTAGATTCATTTGGCTTCGCAGTGGACTAAGTCAAGCTTTGTAGATATCTATAAAATCTCGGTGCATTAAGAATCGGTTCAAACGCTATAGCTTTAGTGTCTATTCCACTTAAAGGTCCCAATATTTGGCTAGCCAGCCAGATATTCGACCAGCCGAGTCGAAGCCAACGCCAAAGTGAGATTGAGATCTTAACGAAAGCAAGAGTTCAGAATTTATCACGCGCCCCATCGGTATAAAATTACAGCCAACATCCGCCAGGAGGGGGCGTAGCAGTTCATGTTCCGCCATTGGTTGTCACATTTGATTTAGCGTACGTCTAAAATACATTCGATATTCCAGTCCCTTTATGCTTCACATTTGCTTGCAACCAACTCCTGTCCCTTGTGTTATCAGATTTTTGTAGAAGGCGAAGTTGAAGTGGTCTGTTCGGGGGGTTAACGGCAGAGTTTAGTAACCGGGGTGTCCATCTCAATCTTGTCACGAGCGTTGTAATTACAGCCACGGCCCGTTCCTCGATCGTCAGGCTCGGCGACCAACTCTCCATTTCAAAATATTGTCCCTGCTTTAACCGTAATCTCAACACGAATCAACCACCCACCTATTGGTTCAGCCTCGAGTTAGCTATCATTTTCAAAAATCTTTTTTTTTTTTATCTCCATTTTGAATTTATTTCCGATACTGGAAGTTTCCTGTCTTTTGTTCTTTCACTTTTGTGTTTTCTTTTTCTTAATCATTCTTTCTTTCTTTCTTTCTTTCTTTCTTTCTTTCTTTCTTTCTTTCTTTCTAATATAGTTTCGTTTATTTCTTTTTTAATATAGTTTTTTCTTTTTTAATATAGTTTTTTCTTTTTTCTAATATATTTCTTTTTTACTATAGTTTTCTTTCTTTCTAATATAGCTTTGTTTATTTGTTCTAATATAGTTTTCTTTCTTTCTTTTTATCTAATGCAGCTTTTTCTTTTTTATCTTCATAATGTAGTCCATTCTTACTTTATTTTTTTTTCTTTCTTTATAATATATATAAGGTCTTTTTTATCAGTACTAATGTATTATAGATTAATATAGTTTGTTCCTTTGTTGGTTTTCTTGTTTCTTTCTTTTTAATATAGTTCTTTCTTTCTTTCTTTCTTTCTCTTTATTATAGTTTTTCTTTCTCATATAATTCTTTCTTTCTTTTCCTCTAATATAACTTCTTTCCTTCCTTCTTTTTTATATTGCCTTTTCCTTTTAATTTTAATATAGTTTTTTCTTTCTTTTTAATATAGTTTTTCTTTCTCATATAATTCTTTGTTTCTTTTCCTCTAATATAACTTCTTTCTTTCCTCCTTTTTTTATATTGCCTTTTCCTTTTAATTTTAATATAGTTTTTTCTTTCTTTTTAATATAGTTTTTCTTTCTTTTTAATATAGTTTTTCTTTCTCATATAATTCTTTGTTTCTTTTCCTTTAATATAACTTCTTTCTTTCCTTCTTTTTTATATTGCCTTTTCCTTTACATTTTAATATAGTTTTTCTTTCTTTTTAATATAGTTTTTCTTTCTCATATAATTCTTTGTTTCTTTTCCTCTAATATAACTTCTTTCTTTCCTCCTTTTTTTATATTGCCTTTTCCTTTACATTTTAATATAGTTCTTTCTTTCTTTTTAATATAGTTTTTCTTTCTCATATAATTCTTTGTTTCTTTTCCTCTAATATAACTTCTTTCTTTCCTCCTTTTTTATATTGCCTTTTCCTTTACATTTTAATATAGTTCTTTCTTTCTCATATATCCTTACTTTTTTTTCTGACACGGTTCATTTATTCGTTCGTTTCTTCCTTTTATTTATTTATTTCTATTTTTGTGCCTTGTTTTCGTTTATTTTAAATCTTATTACATCTTTGATTTGGTCGTTCTTTTTTTTTTTTTAAATCATTCATTATTCATTTTATCGTATCATTATTAACTGGATCCGATTACCATTTCTTTTAATATTAATTCTTTCTATTTTTATTTACCGTTTTCTTTCGCTATTCAATTTATTCATTCATTCTTTCTTTCAATTAACCAGCAAATCAGTTATTCATTATTTCTTTCTGTTCATTCTTCCTCTTCTAGTTTCTTTCTTAGTTGCATTCTTTTTCTTTCTTAAGTTTTCTTATATCGAAATTTTTTGTTCTTTATTTTTATGGCAATTTAATTCTTTTTCAGTCGATTTCAAAATCGAATAAACATGCAAAACCCTTTCTTAACCATTTTTTTTTGTTCCGGTTTTCTAAATTCATTCTTTTTCATCAATCTCGACTTCGCTCTCCCTTTCTGTCTTTCTTTCAACTCTTCCTTATTTATTTGTAGATCAAAGGCAATGAACAAACGACTTTTTCGATCTCATAGCACCGGCGCACCATTTGCCATTATCGAAATATCGATATTGGATCAATCATCTATCACTTTCAAGTAGGCATAATTGACTGACTCAAATGGAGACATGTTTATTTTCTACTTGCTAAAAGGCCTGCCTGTTTAACGAAACTGGCTTACCTAGCATTAAAGCCGGAAACATCTTCTTCTCTCAAATTAGAGATAAGATTACACACACACACACACACACACACACACACATGCGGGCGCGCACGCGCGGCCGCGTGAACAAACACACGCACATACACACTTACACACACACATAGAGTAACATTGGTCTCTGTCAAGGCTGATGAAGCAGGTAACAGCTTTTTCCTGTTACTGCCTGAATTGATAAAATCATGGTAGAGTAGTTTGCCCGGATGCTTATTCAATCATTGGCTTGATTGAAATGTAATATAGCTTTTTTCTTTTCATTTCTTCATTTCTTTTCTAATATAGTTCTCTCTCTTTCTTTCGTTCTTTCTTTCTTTCTTTTTTTGTAAGACATTTTTTCTAATATATTTCTTTCTTTGTTTCTTTCTTTATTTCTTTCTTTCTTTCTTTCTTTCTTTCTTTCTAATATAATTCTTTCTTTCTTTTTTATAGCTCTTTTATTTATTCTTTCTGTAGCGCTGATTTTTCTTTCTTTAAATAAAAATTTCTTTCTTTTTCTCTAATATAGCACTTTTCTTCTTTCTTTTTTATTATTGTTCGCCACGGATGCCTGAACTGGAAAGTTAGTTATGGCGGCTGGTAGCGTTACTAAATGATCACTTATCCGCTGTCTTTTCCATCTATTTTTCGTCAATTGCATCTAGCGCTTCTAATCAATTAAAATCATTTACATATTCAAGAAAATATGGTTCATTTTATAACTATTTTTCTCCCCAATCTGTGAAATATATTTATCTATCCGGAACTCAGTTTTCCATTTAATATTAACGGGAAAATATCCTCCACGGGGCTATTTATACCCTTATCTAGGCGTTCCTACTACTTTCAAAATAGTCAGCAAAATCCACTTTAATGATTATAATCAAGTGACTCATCGCGATCTCTTTGATCACGTCACGGTCTGAAATTTCACTTCCCTTTAACGGTGATGGGCGTAAGAAGCAGTTAGTAAAATCTAGACTGTAAGTCGCAAGCGGGCAGATGCGATAATTTGGCGAAACCTTTGCGCTAAATATCCCATATCTACTCGGCTGGTCATTACAAGCAAGCCCACTCAAGGTTATCTTACTGTCAGCCGAGTGTCCCCGGAGGAGAGCATAAAGTAAGCTCCTTTGTATTTGGTTGTTCACTTGTATTAAGGCCGTGCAGTCGACCTTTGAGATATTAAAAATGGCCGAATACGTTCCGGACAGGTCGAATATATATATATATATATATATATATATATATATATATATATATATATATATATATATATATATATATATATATAAACAAAAGCCGCCCTATCGGACGGCATTTAAGCTCAGTCCTGCGGAAGGCTCTTAATTGAGCCTTCAGCTTGTACCTAAGTTTTTGCATATTCTCAGCACTGGAAGCTCTTCTGGCTGCCGTTTGATCTGGGATTTCATTTGCACGGAACTTTCTTTTCTTTGCTGCAGCCTTGGCTCTTTTGATTGCAATTTGGTCCTCTGTTGTCGGAGATTCCTTTTTACGAGGCATACTGCTGTAGTATGCAATAGGCAACAATAAAATACAGAAGAACTCAAAACAAATCGCTACACTTAAGTATTGCATTAATATTTATGCTTACATTTTAAAAGTTCAACGATAATTCTTTTGTCGCCACTTAATTTAAATACAATTTGATGTATGTACGCCCTTATTTTCTGTACAAACAATTATTTTTATTTCATGGGTGACTTTCGCTTGATATAAAAAATTTGAAACACCGACTTTTGCTGCTACGATTTCTATCAGATCTATATATGGATGTATGAATGAAGTGCGTTTCGTCTTCTTCAACGTGAATGTATTGGTTTCTGATAAAGTCCATCAGAGGACGAAACGCATCGGTAAAGAAAAGCTGTCCTGCTGTCTTTAATAATGTTGTCTTTTTATAGATATATTTTATTTATACATGAATTTTTAAAACACACACACACACACACACACATATATATATATACATATATATATATATATATATATATATATATATATATATATATACACACACAGAGAGAGAGAGAGAGAGAGAGAGAGATTGAATATATGGAATGGGGGGGTTAGCTCTGAGAAATTCAAAGTAATGGTGAATAGTACAAGCAGTAACACCTGTGTCAACATTACCATGAACGCTAATTCACTGGAGGAAGTGCCCAGTTTTAAATACTTAGGAGCAATTTTGTCTAAAGATGGTACCTGCAACTCAGAAATCCGCACACGAATTGATGCGGACATGACAGCGATGGCCAAATTAACAAGAATATGGAGAAGCAAAATCAGCTTTCAAAGTACAGACTGTACAAATCGCTGGTAGTCTACATTCTCCCATATGGATGTGAAACGTGGACACTGGTAGAAACAGAGAGAAGGATCCAAGTGTTTGAGAACAAATACATGAGAAAACTCCTTGGCATTTTCTATTGGGAATAAAAAATACAATAAAACAATGAGTTTGTGCCGAAAAGGGTTAAAAGTTTTGTGGGACACCAGGAACCTCTTCTCGCCGATGTCAAACGGAGAAAAATGGCGTGGTTTGGACACATTACAAGACACGACAGCCTGTACAAGACCATCATGCAAGGCACAGTTGAAGGTGCACGTAGGAGAGGACGCCAACGCAAAAACTAATTGGACAATGTCAAAAATGGACAGATATGACTATACCAGAATTGTTGATGGCTGTCGTTGATAGACCGTTGTGGAAAAGAGTTAATGTGGCTTCTCCATTCGGATCCGCCCTACGATTAAAAAAGTCAAGGGGATGATGATGATGATGAGGAGGATATATATATATATATATATATATATATATATATATATATATATATATATATATATATAAGCTGTCTGCGTGCAATATGTGGAGTTAAGCTTCAAGATAGGACATCTAACGTAGACCTGTTTAATAGGTGTAATATTGTACGGTGGACTGGTCATGTCTTGAGAATGTCTGATGACGGGATACCCAAGATCCTAATGTACAGCCCGTTAGATCAAGGCTACAGCAACGAAGGACGCCCAAGATACAAAGACAAGCTGAAAAGCAACTTGTCAGCAGTTAATATACCACATAACACCCGTGAGCGCTTAGCTTTGGAGCGGGTAGAATGGAGATCAACGTGTTTTAGTGGACTCAGCAATTTTCGATCTGCTTGTCTGAATCATCTCCAAGAAGCGAGAGCAAGATCTAAAAGGTCAACCAATCTAACAGTGATCTCATCTCACAACCCTCACACTTGCTCCATATGCAGCCTCCTTTGTAAATCACTAGCGGGTCTTAAATGCCACTTAAGATTATTGCACAAACTTTCATAACTGAATCAATAAGCTGGCAGATCCTCATACCTCGAAACCGACGGGAGAGTCCATTATTATTATTATTATATATATATATATATATATATATATATATATATTGAGCAAATAAAATAAAACATTTGAAACTTATCTTCCCATGTTAAAGTTTCGCTGCTAATCCGGGAGGTTGATTGTTCAATTGAATTTATTGACATATATTATGTATTACCTAAAAGACGTTACATAAAAATGTTAAGTTTTGAAGTTAATATTAAATTTATAGCATTTAAATATGTTGACGTCAAAAATTAGCGTCTTGCGTATATAACGACATTATGCAATATATGCTATCTGTTAATATATCAAATTTAAATATGGAACACACTGGTGGGCTAATAAAATTGGGAATATTTTTTCATTTATTATTTTATTAGTTCATTTTTAATGTTCTCTTTTCTTAATATTTATCACTTTTCTGACAGAGATCGCTTACCTTAAAAGCGTCAACCTTCAGAAATACGTTGTCCGACAGTTTTGTTTTTTTGCCAAACACAATTTTTTGTTTCACACACACACACACACACACACACACACACACACACACACACACACACACACATATATATATATATATTTATATATATGATCGAAATATAGTCGATATTAGCTTCGTCAGTTATTTAATGTTATAATGATTGATGTGGTAATTTTGTTTGATGTCATTCAATAATACAATTAGACATAAGTATATATATTATTAAGTACATATATTATTACCTTGATACACGATAGTTTTGTATAACAGTAATTTGATTTGTATTTGTAGTGATGTACGTGTATACATATATACATGCTTATATATATATATATACATTTTACACACACACACACACATATATATATATATATATATATATATATATATATATATATATATATATATATATATATATAGACATATATATATAATTATTTTAAAGACATTATTATATTTATATATTCTTTTTATAAATACAAATATTTAAGTAAATGCTCTGTTTATAATAAACAACATTTACCGGCCTGAATATTCGTTTAGGATACAGGTTCGAATTCTGTCGGGGGACGAATATTTTCAGGCCGGTAAATGTTGTTTAATACTGTTTATTATAAACAGAGCATTTACTTAAATATTTGTATCTATAAAAAGAATGTATAAACATAAAAATGTCTTTATATATATATATATATATATATATATATATATGCCATATACAGGGTGCGATAGATAAATTGTCGTCTAAATTACGCAAAAATGAAAATAACACTGACTTCTCATTTTAATAGATATATTTACCAAAATTACACAAAAATATCTTCAAATACTAAAGAGTAAAGTTATTCAATAAAATCGACATTGGTTTCAACCACAGCCTCTAGATAACTTCGGAATCTCCTGCGTCTTGTCTGGGCGGTTTCCTTGTTTAAGTTGGTGAATCCTGCCATAATTCTTGCCTTCAGTCCATCTTTGGTGTTACAAGAAGTTTTGTTGGTCTCTCACTCAACTGTGCCACACACATAATAATCAAGGGGGTTTAAGTCTGGAGAGTTAGGTGACCAGATTTAAGGGGTGATGTGGTCGCAGAAATTGTCTGACAGCCATGACTGGGTTCTCCCGCTTGTGTAGCATGGTGCAGAGTCCTGTTGCCAAACATAGGGTTTTCTAGCAACCACCCTCTTGTTCCAGGAGCGCAATGCCACTTCAAGTCATTTGATGTAGGCCTCAGTGTTGAGTATGATTCCCCGTGGAATGATGAATGGTGGCATAATGTCGCCATCACTAGTGATCACTCCAAGCACCTTCGTAATCACCATTAGACTCTTCCAACACTTTCTGAATACTCTGCACTGTCCTCAGATTGAAACTCAAACACTGTAAAATTTTCGTATTGGAGCTTCCGGCACGAATGCCAAGCAGTACAGCGTAACGTTTCCAAATTTCTGGTGGAGTGGATTGCGTCATGGTGCTCTTTTTCTAGAAGACGGTGCCTAACTGACCCTATTATACTGTGCAGTCGACAAACCTCTTGCCTTTTCTTACGCTCATACAGCACCATACAATAACGTTCTACCTTGACTGGCTCTTCAGCCTTGTATTGGGTTAAAACCAGTAAAAAATGTTATCACAGATAACACAGATACAGTTCCGGAGGTGGTT